TATCTGAGCCTCCGTTATCCGGCTGTCCATATTAACCGAACCAGGGCTGTTAGACTGAGCCTGGGGCTGCAGGTTTGGGCTTGAGCTCCAGGCGGCATCTGAGCCCTGCTGCCCAGGCAGACAGCCCAAGCCATGTTAGCTGAAAATACAGAATGGAGACAGAGAAGTATTTGGTGTGTGTATATAAGAAATACAAATCACAATTCTGTTGATTTTATTTTATTATAATGCTAGATGGCACTGGTAGGCTTCAGACTTGCTTAAAAATTTAAATACATCAATAACACATTATGTTCAACTGATACCTGTATAAATTGTGGCTAGGGAAATTCAAGTTCAGCATTTCATTTTAGTCATGGAAAAACATGGATTTTTCTGGGGGGTTTTTTTTATAGGCAAACTTGTTCGGTTTTTTTTTTTTATGTAATGGAAAACTAGGATCCCTGGTGATATCAGTTTGATGTTGAAATAATTATTTTGATGACTCAAAGAGAGGGGTATGATTTTAGAAAGTAAACAGTAGAAAAGAGCTCATGCCCTATTTTCATTCTCAGATTCTAAAAAAGCTAAGGAAGAAAAGACAAACATGCTAGAGATAATTCTGCCTTCTGTACTACCATGATTTTTAACTTTCAATGAGATGTCAACATATGCTTATGTGGTCTCTAATAATCAAACATTGTTGCTTCCAGATGACCTTTCTATGAGGATAAGAAGTAACCCAACAAATACGTATTAAGATGTTTTTGAAAAAATTGCTATATAAGATATCCATATCTTATGTAGGATATATTGTGCTGAATAATGCCATATCTCACCTATAAGAAAGCAATATTATAAGCCAAACCAGCTTAACCTTCAAGCAAAACAATTAGAAATTAAAACATGGTTATTATTAAAATACACTTTATATAAATGCAGTTGGCATCTTGCTAAGCTTTCATGAACGCTGTCAGCTAAATGGCCAATTAACACTTTTCCTTCTTTGACAAAAATATTAACCAGCATAATTAAGTTACAGTTAAAGATAAGTACCTATTAAAAATTGTGACATCTTACCTACTGTGTAGAAAGGACAGTTATTAAAGGGTTCTGTATTCAGTTCAATTTAGCATTTTCATGAATATAGAGAACCCAGAGGGGCTTTGGTGACTGTTTGTGAGCTTCACAGAAATAGGCATTCGATTTAAAAAATATGGAAACTATTTTATACTTTAACTGAAAGAAAAAATAGTGTGATGGATCAGCAAAATGCTAGCACATGTTGGAACTTTAGCATTACATCCTTAAATTTTTGACCAACAAAGCACCACTGCAGGCAGAGCTTCAGAGTCTCAATGCATGGATGAGACGATGGTGTAGAGAGGAGGGGTTTAGATTTATTAGGAACTGGGGAAACTTTTGTGATGGGGGAGCTTATACAGGAAGGATGGGCTCCACCTAAACCAAAGTGGATCCAGACTGCTGGCACTTAAGATTAAAAAGGTTGCAGAGCATTTTTTTAAATTAAGAAATGGGGGAAAGCCGATTGCTGCAGCGGAGCATGTGGATCGGACAGAGACTTCTCTTAGAGGAGAGTCTATTGATAGATATTCTCTAGGTCATAGTCAGGAGGAGAGGATGGAAGAGGATAAAGTATGGGCCCGATCAGACAAGAAACAGTCACATAAAAAAGAATCTCACATCACAAATAAACAGTGACAAGTTTTTAAAGTGCTTGTACACAAATGTTAGAAGTCTAAATAATAAGATGGGTGAACTAGAGTACCTCCTGTTAAAGGAGGATATTGATATAATAGGCATCACAGAAACCTGGTGGTGTTGGGGGACAATCAATGGGACACAATCATTCCAGGGTACAAAATATATCTGAAGGACAGAACAGGTTGTGCGGGGCGGGGGCGGAGAGTGGCACTATATGTGAAAGAAAATGTAGAATTAAATGAAGTAAAAATCGTAAATGAATCCACATGTTCCATAGGGTCTCTATGGATAGTAATTCCATGCTCTGATAAGAATATAACAGTAGGGATCTATTATCGACCACCTGACCAGGACAGTGATAGGGACGATGAAATGCTAAGGGAGATTAGAGAGGCTATCAAAATAAAGAACTCAATAATAGTGGGGGATTCAATTATCCCCTTATTGACTGCGTACATGTCACCTCAGGACGAAATGCAGAGACAAAATTTCTCGATACTTTAAATGACTGCTTCCTGGAGCAGCTGGTACAGGAACCCACAAGGGGAGAGGCAATTCTCGATTTAGTCCTGAGTGGAGCGCAGGATCTGGTCCAAGAGGTAATTATAACAGGACCGCTTGGAAATAGCGACCATAATATAATAACATTTAACATTCCTGTGGTGGGAAGAACACCTCAACAGCCCAACACTGTGGCATTTAATTTCAGAAAGGGGAACTATGCAAAAATGAGGAGATTAGTTAAACAGAAATTAAAAGGTACAGTGACTAGAGTGAAATCCCTGCAAGCTGCATGGACGCTTTTCAAAGGCACCATAAGAGAGGCCCAACTTAAATGTATACCCCAAATTAAAAAACACAGTAAAAGAACTAAAAAAGAGCCACCGTGGCTTAACAACTATGTAAAAGAATCAGTGAGAGATAAAAAGTCATCTTTTAAAAAGTGGAAGTCAAATCCTAGGTGAGGTAAATAGAAAGGAGCATAAACACTGCCAATTAAGTGTAAAAATGTAATAAGAAATGCCAAAAAGGAGTTTGAAGAACAGCCAGCCAAAAACTCAAAAGATGGTAATAAAATGTTTTTAAGTACATCAGAAGCAGGAAGCCTGCTAAACAACCAGTGGGGCCCCTGGACTATCGAGATACAAAAGGAGCACTTAAAGACGATAAAGTCATTGCAGAGAAACTAAACAAATTCTTTGCTTCAGTCTTCACGGCTGAGGATGTTAGGGAGATTCCCAAACCTGAGCCATCCTTTGTAGGTGACAAATCTGAATCCTGTCCTTTAAATCATCTTCCGTACCCAGTGACTAGAAGAAAGCTAATGTAACACCAATATTTAAAAAGGGGTCTAGAGGTGATCCCAGCAGTTACAGACCGGTAAGTCTAATATCAATACCGGGCAAATTAGTTGAAACAATAGTAAAGAATAAAATTGTCAGACATATAGAAGAACATAACTTGTTGGGCAAAACTCAACTTGGTTTCTGTAAAGGGAAATCATGTCTTACTAATCTATTGGAGTTCTTTGAAGGGGTCAACAAACATGTGGACAAGGGGGATCCAGTGGACATAGTGTATTTAGATTTCCAGAAAGGCTTTGACAAGGTCCCTCACCAAAGGCTCTTACGCAGGGTTTCTCAAATGGGTCGCCACTTGTGTAGGGAAAGCCTCTGGCGGGCCGGGACGGTTTGTTTACCTGCCCCGTCCGCAGGTCCGGCCAATCGCGGCTCCCACTAGCTGCGGCTCGCTGCTCTGAGCCAATGGGAGCTGCTGGAAGCGGTGGCCAGTAAGTCCCTCAGCCCACGCCGCTTCCAGCAGCTCCCATTGGCCCGGAGCGGCGATTGGCCAGACCTGCGGACGGGCAAGTAAACAAACCGGCCCGGCCCGCCAGGGGCTTCCCCTACACAAGCGGCGACCCCTGTTTGAGAAACCCTGCTCTTACGTAAAGTAAGTTATCATGGGATAAGAGGGAAGATCCTTTCATGAATTGAGAACTGGTTAAAAGACAGGGAACAAAGGGTAGGAATAAATGGTAGATTTTCAGAATGGAGAGGGGTAACTAGTGGTATTCCCCAAGGGTCAGTCCTAGGACCAATCCTATTCAACTTACTCATAAATGATCTGGAGAAAGGGGTAAACAGTGAGGTGGCAAAGTTT